TTAACATTCTTAAATCCAAGTGTAACTTACATATGGAAAAACACATCATAATGATATTGCTCAATAAGTATTCACAAACTGAACATCAGGACTGGGATGAGGGTGAAGCAAGCATGGTGAGAGTAAGCACGTTCTTAAATTTTGCTCCTTAGGTAACCTGTTTGTCTCACCTTTGTCCCAGCCTACTGAATAAATGTGTGAAATCAAAACCCAGTGAAGAAACAAAATACTTTGAAGTCTTACTTTGTAGTCATTCAATAAGAATATCTCTATCCTGACTTCTATTAGCATAGATTAGTTTCTCTTGTTTTTAATTTTATAGATGTAGAATCAGAGTATGAGCCATTTGTTCTCTCAACATTATGTTGTGATATTTATCCATATTCTTGCATGTTCTCACTATTCATTCATCTAATGTTGATGGGCATTTAGATAATTTTCTGGTTTTGACTATTATGAATAGTACTGCTCTAAACATTCCGAACATGTTTCTCAATGAAATATGTACATATTTCCGGTGAGAATAGAACGGCTAGGAGCAGATTTGCTGCGTCAAGAATATGTGTGCATTTATTTTTATTTTATTTTATTTTTAAACGTTTATTTATTTTTAAGAGAGAGAGAGAAAGTGTGTGCACATGAGTGGGGGTGGGGCAGAGAGAGGGAGACAGAGGATCCAAATCAGGCTCTATGATGAGAGCAGAGCCCGATGCTGGGCTCAAACTCAACAAACGGTGAGATCATGACCTGAGCTGAAGTTGGACGCTTAACCAACTGAGCCACACAGGTGCCCCTGCATTTAGTTTTAATAGATACTACAAAACAATTTCCAAGGTGATTGTGCTAATTTATATTCCCATCAGCAATGTATGAGAGTTGTGGTTGCTCCATATCCTCACCAACCCTTGGCATTTTCTGTCTTAATTTTAGCCGTTCTGATGGGTGTGTAGTGGGATGCCACTGTGGTTTTAGTTTATAGTTCCCTGATGACTAATGAAGGTGAGCATCTTTTCATATGTTTATTGACCACGTTGGATATCCTCTTTGGTGAAGTGTCTTTCCAAGTTGTCATTTTTATTTATTGGGCTCTATTGGATCGATCGTCTTTCATTTTTACTTATTTGTAGTTCTGCATATATATTCCATGTATAAGTCCTTTATCAGATACATGTATTGTCAGTATCTTTGACTTTATGAGTTGCCTTTTTAGTCTCTTAAGAGTGTGCTGTGGCAAATAGTTTTTAAAAAAACTACTGTGTGCAGTTTTTTAAAAAAAATTTTTGTCTATTCGGAAGTTTAGAGATGTTCTCTATGTTCTTCTCTAAAAAGGGGACATAATTACAGAAACAGAAGAGATTTTTCAATTATAAAAGCCCCCCATGAATAACTTTATACCAAAAAATATAAATATAAAATATAACGTAAATATAAATACCTTTCTCTCTCCCACCTTCAAATATTTGTATATTTTGGTATGACGTTATTTGTTCTCTGTTTCATTCATGTTTTGTCTGGTTTGGTTTTGTCTCCCTAACTTCAAATTGATCTTTCCATCAATATATAGACATATATATCCTACAAGTGCCTCAAATTCAACATCTCCAAATAGAATTTCAACTTCTGATCAAATATGCTCTTTCTTTCCTCAGGTTCCTTATCTTGGTGTTGTAACCATCATTTTATCAAACAGCCTGACCAGGAATGTGTTCAACTTCTGTGTTCTCACTTCCCTTTGGTTACCATTTCCATCTATTTTGCCTTTGAAATATTTCTCAAGTTTGGCTCTATTGCCATTGTGCTGATTCAGGCTGTCATCCTTGCTTTCTTTGTGCCTGACAGCTAAGTCTCCTTACTGAGTCTCCCTGATGTCGGCATTGCCTCTCTAATCTGTCTTCTAGAGTACCAGAGAATGAGGGTAGTAAAACTATAATAATCATTTTCAAATATTTCAAGTTCATTTATTTTGTGTAACTTCAAAGGGCAGAAGGAGAGACAGGAAATGAAAATCACAGGGGTGAGAGAAGGTTGATTTTGAATCATTAGAAGGAAGAACTTTCTCTTTAAAATTTGAAGGCATTATTATAATGACATTAAGGTAATTTAAAAAGCAATGCAAATCTTCTAACT